ACAAGGATCATCTGGACCGTTCATCATGGATATTGTAAAAAGATTTCAGATTATGGACAGCTTTTGTAGGTTAGTATAATCAAGGAAAGTGGGTTGACCTATGACATTCGAAATTAAGATAACGGCGCTTATTTCATTTGAATATAAATGGAAGTTGCTTCTTCTTTGTATGACAAAAGGAATTTAAGAAAAAAAAGATATAAGCTAGATATATATTTATAACCCAGTAGTTTCTACGGATATCAGTAGATGCACTCATTCATTTAATATATGAATGATGTGATCGCTTTTGTAATGGGTAACTGAATATACCGCAGAAGTTTTGGTCAGCCATAAAAAAGTTTTCGAAAGATAGTACAGAGATCCCTGCTACCATTTCGGATCAAAATGGAAATACGGCCAATACAAACTCTGATAAAGCCGACTTATTTTCTACACATTTCGATCGATGTTTTCAGCCAAGACAGGGTCCCATGCCAAATCCATCGAGCAAACGAAAAATAGACGATAACTTTATATTTAAAATTCCGGTTATTGAAGATATTTTTGCAGCCATTTCTTCTCTTTAAAACGATACTGCAGCTGGCTATGATGCCATTTCGGTTAAATTTCTCAAGGCGTCAGTAGCAGTCATTTCACCACAATTACATCGAATTTTTTCTGTTTCACTCAAAGACACATTATTTCCATCCATTTGGAAAAACACCATAGTGTGTCCTATTCATAAGAAAGGTTCGAAATGCATGGTGGAGAACTATCTCCCAGTCTCATTATTGTGCGTTATACGTAAAGTTCTTGAGAGGTTTATTTTTGACCAACTGTTTGGATTTTTAAGTTTTCATTCTTTCTTCTCCTCTACTCAGTTTGGTTTTCTACCGAAATCTTCTACAACTGACGCGCTCTTGTTTCTTCTTCATCATCTTTATGAAAACATAAATTCTTCCATTGATTCTATTCTTGTAACGTTTGATCTGGAGAAGGCGTTCGATAGAACTCCTCAACAGTTACTTTTAGCGCGTCTGTGCTCTCTTGGTGTTAAGAATGAAATGTTCATGTGGTTTTTTTAGTTATTTGTCTAATCGTACTCAGCAAATTCGCATCGGTGATTCTCTTCTACTCGCTCATTTATTCCATCAGGAGTGCCCCAGGGTTCATTCTTGCGACCCCTTTTCTTTCTCATTTTCATCAACGGTTTACCTGATCATATTTCTCTACCTTCAATTGCTTCTCTTTTTGCTGATGACTGTACTCTACCCTCTCCTGCTCTAGTTCTTGCGCCTCTAGCTAATTGTCAATCATACATAAGTTCTATCGAGGAGTGGTGCACTTCACATCTTATGTCTGTCAATACTTCTAAGTGTGAATGGATGTTTGTTTCGAATTCCCCTCAGCATGGGGATCTTCTTCAGTTCAATCTTGCAGGTGTTTCTATTCAGAGAGTAAAGATTCTGTGTTTACTAGGTGTGACTATTTTATCTACTCTTCGCTGGGATGTTCATGTAGACAGACTAGTTATTTCGCTTAGACATCGTCTAGGTGCGATGAATAGAATATTCAGAAATGCTCCAAGCAGAAATTAAGTGACAAATCTATCGGGCGTGCATAATGAGTGCTCTGGACTATGGGTCAATTGTTTACGACAGTTTGATTACGTCTTTCTGTTCTAGGCTAGCTTCTACGCACAGGTTAGCAGCACGGATGATTTCGTGTGACTTTCATTCTAACGGTGATGACCTTCTTCGTAAACTAAAGTTGCCAGACCTTGTCTCTCGTAGACGCTCCTTTCGTCTTCTATACTTTTATAAAGTGTTATTCGACATCTCTCCTCCATCTAAATTTTGTATCATTTCTATGCGTGATACAAGAGTCAGTCTTCGTCTGAACCAAAATCCTTACCCGGTGCTTGTTCCTTTCACATCAATGAAAAGTGTGCAGGGATCATTCTTCTATCTAACAGCGGACGAGTAGAACAAACTTTCGCAGCATGTCATTAGCAATTCTGATCCTGCTAACACTTCTAATGCTATTGTTGTTTCTCTACCAGTCTTTAAAGCTCGCCTACGCGCTCATCTCTGTTACTAAATGTAAATGTTTATTGTTCTATTGGATGTTCAAAACGGTTCTTCTGACTTCCACTTGCTGTTTACTGTACCTTGTCTTTTTCTTTTTCGTGCGTTCTTATTTGGAAAGATTTTTGAGAGCAGTATTTACAAGCCGCGGCTTTCCTGTTTCCCTGCTTACATTTAAGCTAAATAAAATGAAATGAGGCAAACCGACGAATTAATTGTAAGTAACGAGCTGCAAAGTCTATGGCATATTCTACTTTTTGGAGTATATTCTGGAGTATATATACTTCTACTATGTAGAAACGGAAGGAGTTTCACAAAAAGGATAATAAGAATTACGCTCGAATACTTCGCTTTCGGTCACGAAGTACTAAAGTAAGAGGTATACAAGTACTTACAATTGAACACATACAATAACCTAATAAACGATCAGGAATTCACCAATATTCGTCGAGACGAGATCACCAAATGTAAAGGAATTCTTTCCTTTGCTGAGTTTATTCGAAAATAGACTGAAATATAAGTGCTTTATAATATGTATATGTAGTGCAAAAGGCAAAAGACGAGAGATAGAAATGTGAACAATGGGATATTCGATGCAGTTATAACGTCATTGTTTGTAGTAGTGGTTTCCGAAAACAATGGATAGACAACGCTGTGTCTTGCAGCACAAGGAAACCGAACAAGGACCCCTCACAAATATGATCATGTAATAAACTAACTGTCTAATAATGAGAAGGTTAGTTTATCATATGATCATATTTGTGAGTAGGCATGCAACAATCCGATAGTTCGGTCACCGAATGTGTTCGGCCTGGAAACTTGATGCGACCGAACGTGTTCAGACGAAGATTGCAAATACGATAGTTTATATTTTTCTCATCGGAAATATCGGCGAGCGCTCTGTTGAGGTACTTTTAGGACAAAATACCATAAATCTTATAAAGATACATTTAAATTTGGGCTGCACCTTTCTGTCTATTTTATTTGCACAGTGAGGAAAAGCATTTTTGTATGGAAACAAAGTAAATCAATCAGCAGAGGCCACATTAGTAAAAGTATGCTTTAGTTAGACAGTAAATAAGATATACCTAAAGGAACCTAAAGGTACTTTGAACTTCCTAGACCAAAACAAACTTAAAATTGCTGCTCTAACTCAAACTTTTCTTTACATGACTATCTACGGTTACGGCGTAATCATGACTGCTCCTTCGTATGGTGTAATATTTACCATTTTTTCTGTTTTACAGAGATTTCTTTCATGTATTTTTTCGCTCTCACATTCTTAGCTTTGACAAACTAGGTTTTTAAACCTTTGGTAGCGAACCATTCCACCAACATGTTTGGTAGCGATCCGGTAGAACACACATTCGCTCACGTTCTACTTTAGTTAGCCTATTTTCTCACTGGTTAGTTCCTTCGAAAACTTAAATCTCATTCCGTTTGTCTTTAGTCCAGACTAGGCCTGCAACAATCTCAAGCTAGGACTCGCTGATCGGTAGCGAACGGTTTGGTGACCGAACATGTTCGGTGCCGATCAACGAGCCTTGACTTGGGATTGTTGCATGTCTGTTTGTGAGGGGTTTGGTCTTTATTATGTCGGTAGATAACGCGCTTTTTGCCGTTTTTTTTTGCAGAAGACACTGCTACATGCAAACCACACTATAAGTCAATAAAACTCGAGATATAATGAAAACGCGCAGAAAGAATAAATGATTATACAAACAAACGAGAACGATGGACGGAGAAATGGAGAATAGGAAAGTGCTAGATTCTGACTAAGTATGAGAGTGAACAAACAGAAAACAATGAATAGAGGAAACAGAGATAGTGATTAGGGGTACTCCTCCCCTCTTTTTTTGCTTCCGTAGGAATGCTGTGAAATAAAAACTAAAAGTCACTAAGGCTTCATATTTTCAGAACTGATTGGAAGCTCAATGAAACACGTTTTCATTTTTGTTTCAAGTTTCTAATTATTACCGTTCATCAGTTTGCCAGAAAACTCGGTTTTTCATTGCACCGCATTATGAACCCTCTTCAACTGCATCTGATCGAGTTAAAAATTTTATTAGAGATACTCAAGGTCATTTCGCAGAAGCAAATTTTTTAAGACTCTTCCTGGTCGAGTTATGGGAAAAATACTGAAAAACTTTCAAAAACCAAGTTCTTCAATTTTAGAAACGGAAAAGCTCGCTAAAGAAAAGTCTAAAATAAAATTGAAAAATTTTTCGTCTGCAAAAGTGTCTTGAGTACCTCGGATAAAATTTTTAACTTGATGAAATTTAAAGAAGGTCGTAATGAAATCCAATGAAAAATCGGGTTTTCTGGAAAATTTCTGAACGGTAATAGTTAGAAACTTGAAACAAAATCGAAAAAGTGCTTTATTGAGTTTTCAATCAGTTCTGACAATACAAAGCCTTAGTGATCGATAAGTTTTTATTTCACAGCATTTCTACGAAAAGCCCGCAAAGAGCGGAGGGGTACCCTAACGGCAAGAGAGGTTATTTTTCGTCACAATCTATGTTTAAGTTATGTGGTAAGTAATAGGCTTTGCCAATATTAATTAATGAAAATCAGAATCGTTTAACTTCGCACTAGAAAAAAGTGTGTGGATATATGCCGCTTAGTATTAAAATACGATAGTAACAAAACTGTTTTACGTGTTTAGAATCATCTTTGTAAACAGATGAAGTATCACATAGCATATTTATTACTATGTCTATTATTATATACAGACATCGATGTATCAGGACAATCTTGGTCAGGTATCTATAGTTGGAATACAGCATGTGATTCAACACGTTGCTGTTGCGTTTACGGACAGTTGATAATTAATGAATCAAGTACATATTTATCTTACAGCACTGATACCCGCAACTGCGGTACCACTAAAACAGAGAACCGAACAATACTTAATCCACATAGTTTTACTTTTTATGTGACAACAGGCTCTACTACTGTGAAATGGATGTTAAGTGACAGTAGTGACAGATTAACTGTCAGCAACGCAAAAGCAACGCATTGTGGTGCAACAGCAACAAAAATTTCTGGCTCAACAACCCGAGCAAGAACAACAACTAGGAGAATATCAGATGGTAGTAAACTAAGCACTGGATCAATAGTTGGAATAGTTATTGGAAGTTTAGTGGGTTTTTGCTGTTTAGCTTTTTGTTGCGCAAAAATATGTAAAGATGAACGTAGAGCTCCATCACGACCATCACCACCACCACGCAAACCAGAGTATGCATTAGCAATTGTACAACTTAATTGATAGAACAGACCTTCCTTAATCAAATCAAATATTTTGTTAACTTTTTGTTCTTAAATAAACTATATATTTTTATTCAGGATAAAACGAAGTCGAGTACTAAAAATTCTAAATTCACCACTATGGGCTAAGTTGGATTTTAGTTATATTCTAGACAACTTATGACCTAAGCTCGAGTAAAACTATTGAACCACAGTCGAAATAAGAATAAATATTAAGATTCCAAGCGATTCATATTCACTGTTGAAAAAGTCTCAGAGAATAAACTTAGTAAGATCGTAGCAAAATCTGAACAAATCTTTTAAATTTCAGACCGCACAATCTTACGGGGGAACGTTCCGAGGTGACACCCTCCGTTTTCTTTCGTTCAGATGCCATTCGATAGAGTATATGGAGGTATGAAAAAGCCTAAAAGGATTAGTGCCCCTTTAGCTTTCTTCGAAAGTTATAGGCATTTTTCGGAGTTTCCGACCCAAAGTTTCCGACCTCTACGCTGCTTCATTCAAGATCTGTAGATTTTTCTCTATAGTAGCTGTAAAAATACAGTCTTACGCCCGTTGCTTCTTGAGACTTTTTTTCTTGATCAGTTATCAGCTGTTATTATTTACATAAATTAAAGATGGCTGTCGTTGTTGTTCTCGTCACTTCTAGAATGTAAATTCTCTAACACATGCTTCCATACAAAATAGTGATTAGGGATAGAGTAAGGCGAAAGCGAGAAAAAAAAATAGAGCCTTCCTCACTGTTGTGACTGTCTCATTTGATACCAACTTTCACTAAAAAATAACAGCAACTGAACGATGATAAATTCACATAACGTAACTCTACTTCTATTCAATTTAATTCTTAAGAAACTTCCTTCTAAAACCTTGACGTATTCTTATAAACGTAAAGATGAAGATGTAGCGAACAATTTGTTTCACAGTATTGAGTCGATACTAAACTGTACAGATTACAGTTTCAAAACAGAAAAAACTCTGGATTTCAGTTCTGACTTTGACCAGCAAAGTGTAGAGGACGAGCTGGAATCGGAGGGCGAGCAAAGTAATGAGTATGAAGAAGAAAACGTGGAAGATGGTGACAAAAGTTTGCTGCACAGGTTCTCGCTTCAGTACAGGCAGCGGGCCGTCCAGTTTTATGACGGGAAAGATTCAGTCACTGGAAAAAGAAAACATTCATGGGAAACCTTTCACCATAAGTTTCGGAAGGTTATGAACAGAAAGTACATAGCACGTTTTAGGAAGTACCTAGAGGCTAGCGGAACCAAGAAACAAAAACTGGAGGAAATTGACGAATTCGTCTATAATTTTTCCCAAAAAGCACGCGAAGACCTGCTTTTCATCCATGATATCGATTTAAAGCGTTAGGCTCTGAAAAAAGCACGGGAGCTCAACGAAGAAAACTTTCTTGCGAGTGGTGACTGGCTTCGCAACTTCAAACGTCGTCATGGAATTTGTTCGAGACATGTGATAAAGTTAGTCACAAAACGTGAAGCAGAAAATGAAGAAAAGATCAAAGAGTCTGCTGACGAGTTTGTCAGTAAAGTGAAAAAACTATCTCAAGGCTAAAAGCAAGACCACATAATTAATACAGATCAGTCTGGGCTGCAATTGGAGATGTACACGAATCGCACGCTCCCTTTTGTCGGAGAGAAAATAACCGTTGCCAAAGTGAAATTCAAGTTCAACGTTCGCATTCATACACAGTCCAACCGATTATTTCAATGCATATCAAAATTTGGCGCTTTTTTTTCTGAATGGGTTGCCAGAAAATTTTTTGCGGGAAAGTGATCAGCATGGTCGATTACCTATGAAGTCGGGTTTATCTCAAATGGGTCACCGTGCTTTTTTGGGAAAAAAAAATTTCAAATTTTAAAGGATATTCGAGCGGGAATCGAACCTGCGGCACAGAAAAAAGTATATTTTCTTCTCCTCATACGTTTACGACTCTACATGTTTATCTATCTTTTAGTGTACACAAAAAAGTAATACAAGAACGAAGTAAAAACAGTTCTTCACACAGATAATTCTCTTTCCTATGACCACACAGACTATTTTCTTTTCCATCACCACCCAGATGATTTATCTTACTTTTTGTTCCAATCCATCAAAAATCTTATTTTCAAAGTATACCCGAAATCGATTACATCACGGGTGTCGTTTTCATGAAACGTCATTATTTTCTTTCTTCTTTCAATTGCAAACTGCATTTGATTTGCACGACGAATCTGACCTTTTACCAAGAAATTATTTTTTAATTCAAAATAACTAACTAAATAAGCACACGGTCTATACCGACCATTCAGTCCCTTTCTTTTAAAGAACCCGAACTGTCTATCACTTAGATTTCTTCTTCTTACCCAAAACCAACCTTTAGATGAACATACGCCATCATATATTGCTCGTTTAAGTTCATTTTTCAATTTATTGGACATTAATTGTTGTTCTTCTAGTACCTCATTTGTTGTTATTGCACAGGTCCATTTCGTTTGATGTTGATTGAGAATGTCGGCTCCGCTGATCATTTTCAGATAATAACCGGCCTGGTTATCCTTTCGACGCAGCAACATTGTTTGCTCAATATTTGGTGTACGTGTGAAGAATTACTCCTAAAAAGAAAAAGGTTAATATTTTTTGTGAGCGAGATAATTATTTTAACCGTATCTGTAGTTTACTGGACACGCGTACAAATAAAGCAGCAGATCTAAAAAAAAGATAAGTTGATTAATAAAGTGGCATCCTGGAACATAATGCTAATAAAATAAAACAGCACACAACGTTAATAAAACAATTTAAATTAGAATCATAGAAGAAGATAGAGCACGAAAAGACTGGTGAGTTTAGGTCGTAAAAGATTCGTATTATTTTTGTTAAAGAACCTTGTAGTCTCGCAAAGTTCACACCTGGTCTAAGTTCAATCTTAAAGGAAGAATTTAATTTTATACAGAGGGCAGTTTGTCTTCCTTAGATTTTACAGCTTTATTTTGTTTGAGAAACGTGGATTTAGCTTTTAAAATGAGATATGTACACGTATCATGCTGACTCCCAATTGTTTGTTGACAAGTGATTTAACAGAACATCAACGAGTCTTTCTTTTTATTTCACAAAGAAAGTAGCACAAACACAGAAAAAAAATGTTAATGGCCATCAGGAGGGAGAGTTGTTAATAATTGTTGTTGTTGTGTGGGTTGGTCAGTAACATCCTGTTGTTGCTGTTGAAACGATGGAGGAGGAGGAGATAGATCAGGCACCGGTTGCGGTTGCCCATTTCTAAACCAGAGCACGCAAAAATTATGTTAGACGAATAATACTAGAAGTGTACTTACGATTGGGCCGAAACATTAATGGTGGAGAGCAGCTGTTGTTGACCACTTCTAAAACAGAAAAGAAAATCAGAGAATTGAACAAAGAATAACTTAACTACAAAATAAGATGCACAGTAATAAAATTTTTAGTTATTTTGAATAGACGATACATAAAATAATGTACTAGCTCCCCTCGTCAAAACTAGTCGCATAATAAATAAATATGTACGTACTGTTGTCCATAATTTAGACCACCACAATACGAGGGGGTCTGTTGCTGTTGACCACTTCTGGAAAACAAAGGAAAGAAATAAAACAGGACTAGTAGAAGACTAAAATCTACTTACTGGTACCCGAAAATTGGACCACCACAATACGAGGGAGTTTGCTGATTTTGTCCATAATTTGTGCCAAAAACATAAGACAGGGGCTGTTGTTGACCACTTCTAAAATATAAAGGTGAAACGTAAAACTAACAACAGCACGAAATCTACTTACTGTTGCCCACAAACTGGACCACCACAAGAAGATACGAGCTGCTGACAATTTCTAAATAGATGGAAAATTAAAGAATAACAAGCTAGAAGAGTACAAGTATTTATATAGAAAAAAATGTGTTCGCAAACAATACAAATTCCCTACACGATGAAAAGAAAGCTGTGGTAAAGTTGAAATTTTTTGCAAAATTTTTTGCGAAATTTATTTTTCATTTTTTTATACATCGGTGAATACAGTTTGAAGAACTGATTAAGAATAAGTGTTTTATTTTTTGGGAATGACTTTTATGGAAACATTTTATGTTGGATCTGAAAAAAAGCTAAATTTTCATTGTTAGCATTTATTTTAAATTCGAAAACTATTTTTCCGGTTTCGGCATTAAAAACTGAGTCTAGAAAACTCATTTCTGATGCTATTCAAATATAGTTTCATCATAATTCTTCAACATAATTTAACTTTTAGACAGAATGATTTAGAAAAAGTGTTTTTTTTCCAGCAATGAGGCAAAATCACGAAAACCTCGAGCTATACTTTTAAAGCGCAACCCCTAGCGGTTCTAATGGAGAAAGTTATTATTAGAGGTCGGGGATCTTTGATGACTCTCATAAAAATGAAAATTTAGCTTTTTTTCAGAATAAACTTAAAACTTTTTCCGTAAGTCATCCCAAAAAAATTCAAACACTTATTCTTAATCAGCTCGTAAAAGTATATCCAACGATATATAAAAAAACAAAAAATAAATTGTGTATAATTTCAGCTTTACTACAACTTTCTTTTCATCGTGTAGAAAGTTTGTAAAATGCAAAGGAGCGGAAAAGATAGTCTACTTACGGCTGGCTTGGTTCAGTCCAATGAACGGGGTGTTGGTTTTCTTTTTGACCATGACTAATAAGAGAAAGAAGCAACATACAGGGCATTAAAAGTAGAAGAAAGATACTAACTATGGGCAGCAGCAATTGCTGTGAAGCGGAGGTGGATGACGAGCATGAGGCGGACGAAGACGGCGAACCTAAATTATAAAAAATATTAGAGAAAATATACACTATTCATGC